CATTTTACTAAGAGAGGCGGGTGAGGGGCGGCCGCCGGCGGACATATTACCTAGAGAGGCGGACGCGGAGCGGCCTCCAAGCGGACATATTATCTGAAGCGGCGGGGGCGGAGCGGACATCCCTAAAAATTTTTTTCGGCGGTGCGGCCGCCCAAAAACCGCGCCATGTTTGACATTATGGCGGGGCGGTCCGCGCGAGCGGTGCGGACCGCCCTCCGCTCCGCCTCCGCCTCCGCGCGCGCGGTGCACATCTCTGGTCTTGAGATTAATAATTCTAAAGTTCCACTTTAGAATCTCAAGGATATGATATATGAGTGAATTGGTCAATACTTCTGAATTTCATTAAAAGAAGACTATTCGAGAAATTAGAATTTGAATTCATTAAATGAATCTTAGATTCGTTATCTGGGAGGTCATTCTAGTGCATTATATACGAAAGTTTGTCCAAAAAAGAAAAAGAATGGTTGTAAGTATTTTTGTAATAACTCAAGAAAGAAAAGAGATAGAGAGGGTGTGGTTTTCATCATTATGTAAATAATTGAGTGTTCTTTATGTTCATAATAGCTGATTGGAAATCCATGTAGATTCATTATCAACTTTTTCAAAAATTAATCGTAGTATTTTAAAGTTCTATAAGATTCTATACGTTTAAATGATGGAAAACATAGCGTTGATACTACCCTTAACATGATGCAAGATCTATCTCTATAGTTATTATAATTGAAAAATGGCATTTATGCTTTTCTTTTAATGTATATTATATTCAATTTGCTTAGTATTAACAATAGTGAAAATTCACATCATCAAAGATGATAAACAAGATTTAATCTTGCTGTAACTATCATACAGATGATAAATGACAAAATTATATGGATAGAAATGAATGAGACAATTCATAAGGAAAAAAAATTTAGAATGAGCAGCTAAAAACAGAGCAAAAATAATATATTGATGTTGCGCATATTTCTATTGTACAAGTTAACACATGTCGAAAAAGATAAACTTTGTCTATTTTATTGTTGGTATTTCTCGAGTTAAATTTATTTCCTTAGTTTCTTTGTAGGCAGCTAAATATGACAAATCAATATCAAACTTTTTTTTCAAATAAGTTAAAAGATGTGAAAATACATTTACGAAAGTTCTTGATTATATTGAATCACTCGAATCTACATTATTTGATTCGTTTAAATGAGAATGATAGTAGAAATGGCAGTGACTATAAGTGATTGCTCTATTGATAGTATTAAGTTTTGAGTTATTTGCCGGATTTTAATTATGATATTTTGTTATTATCTTATAATAGAGAAAAACAAAAAAAAGAATCAACATATACAAGTTGTATCCATATAGTATTGTCATTTGTCATCTTTATGATAGTCACAATAAGATTAAATCTTGTTCATTATCTTTTATGATGTGAATTTTTAGTATTGTTAATACCAGAGATATTTCATGTAATATAGATTAAAAAAATAAGTAAATGCTAGTTTTCAATGGCAATAGCTATAAAGATGAACCTTGTATTATTTTTAGGGTAGTGATCAACACTCTATTTTCCATCATGTAAACGTATAGAGCAGTGTTCGACATGGGTCACTTTTTTGTGACCCGATCTGAGCCTAAAAATATTTTCTTGACTTCACCCAACCCGAGTCGAACACTGGTATAAAATCCTATAGAACTTTAAACCTTTAAATTTTTGAAAGATTGATTATAATTAGGTATTGAATATGCATGGATTTCCAATCAGTTATGATGAATATTTAGAAAAGTTACATACCTACATAACGGTGACAATCGCAGCTTTCTATCTCTTTTTTTGTGTACTCAAACAGTGAGTACACTACTAAAATCGGTCAGTGTGCCCGTCCGTTGATTCGATAACTTTTGAAAGGAGAGTCAGATCGCGATGAGATTTTCTACAGAGTTCAGTCTTAAGAATATCTCGGTCGAGTTCGAAGATGAGAAGCATTGGCCGAGTTCTTCCTGAGTTATTGCAAAAATACCCATTTTTCCCTATACATTCCCTATGGAAAGATTGAGCCGTTCCCGCTTTCATAAACAACTTTTCCTATTCTGGTCAACAAAAATCCCAACTATTATATACCATTCGATAGAGAATTTTAAGAGCTACAAAATGGTATATAAAAAAGATAAAGAAACAAGAAGACTGACTCACCTATCACAAAGAGAATTAAAGAGAACTACGTTATATTTTTGTCCACAATCTAATTGATCCACAATTTGAGCTCTACCTTCCGATCATAGTGATGATCCTTCGAGGTTTTCTGAAGTGGAGAACTCGAATCTGTATTCCACTCCCGTCGAAATACTATTGGTTGAGCAGTGACCAATAGAAGTCAAGTTATAGGAAAAACGACTTTCTTAGGGTAAATCAAGGGGAAGAGTTCAAATTTGAGCTATATTCGGTCCCAAGTCCTATTGATTTGGCAATACCCAACAGAAATCAACAGTTTAGAGGGTAGGTTCCCCAGTATCATTTTGATGTCCAGACATTCTAGGATGGCTGATTCGTCTGATTCACTTTTTTTATCTACCACATATATCGCTATATTCAGTTTGATCAGAGCAACCAGGTCCTGAAATACTATACTATGGGGGTACCCTTGGGTCCTCACATGCTATACGTGGGTCACTCTGAAAGTTTTTAGATTTGCAATACTGTTAGTTTAGTGTGAAAGAATTTCATTATATTTGTTCGAAGTTATGTCCTTGTGCACTAATGCACTTATTGTGTACTCAAAAAGTGAATACACTCTAGAAATCGGTCAGTATTGTCCAGCCGGCCGGCCGTTTACACGATAACTTTCGAAAAGAGAGTCTGATCATGATGAAATTTTCTATACAGTTCAGTCTTAACAATGTCTCGGTCGAGTTCGAAGATGAGCAGGATCTGTCAAGAAATGGCTGAGTTATCGAAAAAATTGTCATTATTGATTTGACCACCCTGGGGGCGGGGGGGGGGGGGGGGGGGTACAGGGATTTTTTTTTGAAAAAAAAATTTTTTCTCGGAATTCTTCTCAACATATATAGATCGACTCAGTTGTTATCGGTGATTCCGAGTCTGATATTAGTTTTGAACCAAATCATAGCTTTCTAACAAAATATCTACCGAAAAAGGTCTCAAACTGCAGAAAAACTACACGAAGAAAGCAAATAGTCTAGATATTTATCAGATAGCAAAAAAGAAAGTGAACATATCTTTTCACTTTTTGAAGTACACATAACACTCAGATGTAAATCCGATGTTTTCGTATTTATTTTCTATAGTTATTGCAAAAATACCAATGGTCATTCTTTTTTGAACAACCTCTAGTTACTTGTATCTTCTTTGTCAACAACATATCATACTATTATCGGCACCAGAAGTCAGTGCATTCGGATGTTTTTTGAATAACTTTCGATAGGAACAAGTTAGAGACCCACGGTTTTCAACATTTGATAGGCAAGACCCAGGAGCATATTTTCTTAATCAAACTCTTCTCTGAAATAAAAGTTCCTAAACCGGTTTTCAGAGAATCTCTAGAAAACCACGATGGATTTCTGAGAACTACCATAGGAGTTTATTGATTTTTTTACAGGAGTAGATAGCCCAGAGTGTCCCCTACAAAACTAGATCTAAGTACAAATTCTATCTTGCAAAGTTTCGGCAAACCAGCCAGTTTTTCCGAAGCCCTACTATTCCCTTTTCTTTAAGTGTAGCGCTATTGTAAACACATGAAACCATAGGTTATCGACTATGCTGAACATCGTGGGAACGTTTTATCTTGTGCTTAGAAGAACACTTTTTATTAATCGTATAGGTGCATTATGAATACATAGTGTTTCTATATGAAAAAAATGCTCTCATGACAATTTATGCACTATTTTCGTGTGAATTCAACGAAGCATATGAGGAAAAATAATTTTTCTGTGTGAAAGAGAGAATGAAATATCTGGCGTGGTCTCTGGTTAGTGGTAATTACAACCTGATGCTGATAAGGATTGTCCTTTATAGGTCGTATTACTATTTATCGGTTTAATTACAAGATTTTTTCTTGGTTGCGGCGCAGTGTCAAGTAACTCGGGGTTCTTCCTTATCACTGTTACATGTATTGAAACTTTCTGATATTGTTTGTTTTTTTCTTTTTAGTCACTTGATATGTTCTTCTCTTTTTCTCTGTGGTATATTCCTTTCGATTGATGGGCTATTGCAACCACGAAAATCGTGCATAAATTGTCATGAGAGCATTTTTTCATATAGTAACACTATGTATTGATAATGCACCTATATGATTAATAAAAAGTGTTCTTCTAAGCACAAGATAAAACGTTCCCACGATGTTCAGCATATTCGATAACTTATGGTTTCATGTGTTTACAATGGTGCTACACTTAAAGAAAAGGAAATGGTAGGGCTTCGGAAAAACTGGCTCGTTTGCCGAAACTTTGCAAGATGGAATTTTTATTTAGATCTAGTTTTGTAGGGGACACTCTGGGCTATCTACTCCTGTAAAAAAATCAATAAACTCCTATGGTAGTTCTCAGAAATCCATCGTGGTTTTCTAGAGATTCTCTGAAAACCAGTTTAGGAACTTTTATTTCAGAGAAGAGTTTGATTAAGAAAATATGCTCCTGGGTCTTGTCTATCAAATGTTGAAAACCGTAGGTCTCTAACTTGTTCATATCGAAAGTTATTCAAAAAACATCCGAGTGCACCGACTTCTGGCGCCGATAATAGTATAATGAGCTGAAGAAAAAAGCGTCAACATATCTTGTACAGATAAGAAAACAATTCTAGAATTTCGAAAAAACCTAATTCTTCTATTATAAAATGTGAATATTTATGAAGAAAGAAATCATTTAGACATTCAACGAACTGATACTAGCATGGGAATCAATACCTCCTAAAGAAATTCAACAACTGGCTAGTGTATTACACGATAATACAGTGAGATATGTTTGTCTTTCATCAATTCTAACTTCATCATTTCGTTTCTATGCAGACACTTGTTTTACTCAATCTTTATTCAAACCAAATCGATGATAAAGGTGCACAATATCTTGCACATGCATTACAAGATAACATGGTTTAATAAGCTTTTTTATTTCATCAAATACAAAGTCATGATATTTACATTCAGACACTTACTACACTAGAGCTCAGGTTCAACAATATCAGTGCCAAAGGAGCGCTATACATGGCTCACGCATTACAGAATAATACAGTGAGATGACTTTTATTTTTATTGACTGCAACTTCACATTAGAAGTTTAATATAGACTCTCACTACTCTCAATTTTGCATTCAATCAAATCCATGATGAAGGAATACAATATTTGACCCAAGGATTACAGAATAATAAGGTTAGAAAGGTTTTTCCTATCAAAAATCTATACATTCATAATTACTTTTCAATATAGACACTTACTAACTTAAATCTTATGTACAATGACATTCACGAAAAAGGAGCACAATACTTGGCACAATTATTACAGAATAATACAGTGAGATCAGTCTTCTTCTCATCATTCATATATTCATCAGTATATTTTGATGCAGATACTTGTCACACTTGATCTTAGGTCGAATCATATCGGTCATAAAGGAGCAGAATATTTGGCTCAAGCATTACAGAATAATTCGGTAATGACTGTTGTCTCTTCATGAAATTTGTATACATCCGTCTATTTCAATATAGACACTTGCCATACTCGATCTTAGTTCGAACAAAATTAATACCGAAGGAGCACGGCAACTAGCTGAGGCATTACTAAAAAATACAGTTAGAAAAGTTTTCTCCTCATCAACAATAAACTGATCATTGTTTTGATACAGACACTTACAACACTTCGGCTTCAAAGCAACTGTATTGATAGTAAAGGTGCAAAATATATACTTCAATCATTAGAACATAACATCGTGAGAAAAATTCTTTTTCTACCGACTATATAACTTACGAATATCCTTTAACACAGACACTTACTACACTTGACATTGCTCAAAATGAAATAGGAGATCAAGGAGTGCAACAAGTAGCTCAAACATTACAAATTAACAAGGTCAGACGGATAGTCTTCTCATCGAGTGTAAAGTTACGCTCATATTTCAAAACAGACACTCGATATACTTAATCTTCAGTTTAATGCAATCGGTAATAAAGGAACAAAATATTTGGCTCAAGCATTACAAAAAAACGCAGTAAGAAAAAATTTCTTTTCATGGGCTATAAATTCAATTTTGTTTCGATATAGACACTTACAACACTTGATTATGGATCGAACAAAATTGATATTAATGGAATACAACATCTAACTCAAGCATTAAATAACAACACAGTAAGACCAAATTTTCTTCTTAAGAACGGTATATTTTCGCTATTATGTTTCAATTCAGGCACTCAACAACTTTACCCTTCGAAGTACTGATATTGATGCTAGTGGAGCACAATGTTTAGCTGAAGTATTACAGAATACTACGGTTGGATAAATTTTACTCTAATCAATGACAATCTCATAATTCTATTTTTTCATTTAGACACTTACCATTCTTAATCTAGAAAGTGCTAATATACGTTCTGTAGGAGCACAATATCTTGCTCAAGGATTACAGAATAACAAAGTCAAATAACTTTTCTTTTTATCAGCTATATAGTGACCATTTTATTATTAATATAGACAATAATAGAGCTCAATCTTTGCTACAATAATATTGAAGATAAAGGAGTGGAATATTTAGCTCGAGCATTTCAGAATAATACGGTTAGAAAATTTCTTTTTCCTTCATTGATTATAATTTTATGATTATATCTTCAACGTAGACACTTACTACACTCAATCTTGGATTGAACGAAATTACGGCTCAAGGAGCCCAACATCTATCTCAAATATTGCCAAATAATAAGGTCGAGCAAGCATTTCTTTTCATTGACTATAATTTGACCATTAGATATCAATACAGACACTAATTACGCTTGATCTCAATAGAAATCAAATCCATACTGAAGGAGCACAATATTTAGCTCAAGCATTACAGAATAACCAGGTCAAACAATTCTTTTTTCTTTTTCATCAACTGCACATTTGTTATCATGTTTAAAATATAGACACTTCAAATATTGAAACTTGAACTCGGTCATATAGATTCTAAAGGTACGCAGTATCTGGCACAAATATTAGAACATAACCAGGTGAGATTAATTTTCTTTCGATAGTATTTAAATCTACCATCATGTTCAAAAGCAGGCACTCACCATACTTGATCTTTCGTATAATCGTATCGATGATGAAGGATCAGAATATGTGGCTAAAGCATTACAGTATAATACAGTAAGACATGTTTTCTTTTCTTCATTTGTCAATCTATCAATGTATTTTAATACAGACACTTAAAGAACTTAACTTAGGAGGTAACTGTATCAGTGCTAATGGGGCTGCATATCTAGCTCAAATGTTACGAAAGAATTATGTGAGAAAAATGTTCTTTTTTGATTCAATGCATATGTATCTTTCTATTTTAATGCAGACACTTACTACACTTGTATTTGACGGCAATCTAATTACTGTCGGAGAAGCAAAAAATTTGTTCATGGAAAGATATCGTTTTGACTACAATCTGGCATATCCAAGATAATTGATGCATTAACACCCATTTTAAAAACTCTTTCTTATTTTCATCTCAGTATTAATTTTGTTTTTGTGAAAGTGATTTTTCAGAAAGTTCTATATTTATTCAATATAAATTTATACAAGAACGAAACCATAAGATGATAGCGAATTTATTTAAATAGATGACTTTTGGTCATTCATGTGTTCTATGGTAATCACAGATTATCGAGTTCAATTGATGCTCTAATTATCAAATGTTTCTTTTTGTTCTTCGAACTGTACTATCTCTTTTTGATCATTAATGGAATATTGTGCATTTGATATTCATCAAAATGAAATAACATATTTTACCTTTTAGTAAATTGGTGACAAGAAAATGACTAAAATCAAATTTTTCAATACCGTAGATTATGTACTTATCTAAGTGAATAATAATTGTATGTCCGTGCTTTTTCTACATAATAAAATACAGAAAAGATAGTAAAACAATTCATTGAAATAAATTTTTATTTGTAGAAATCAAATAAGTAAATATGCAGTTTCATAGTTATTAGAACAAGTGAACTAATACTATCAATCAAGCATATATATTGTGAAGTTACCTATGAATATAATTGTTGTCGAAAAAAAAACAAACTGTAGTTGCCAACTGTAATTTGACATCTGATCTGCAAATGTAAATGCTTTCTCTATATGTTCTTCAGACTATCTAGACACAGAAGTTCATTTATATCTGTCTATAGAAGATGATATAAATGCGTAAATAACCATTCATACCGATGGTATGCCACTTCGATTGAATATGTTTAAAAATACAGTATCATTTATTACTTGAACGACTATAATCACTAACTATCCAGTAAATTTATGATTGTTAACCTGCCGTTAAAATAAATCTATCAAGCAGCTGTGGCATAGAGTGTGTTTGAGATATAACTATGAGTATTTTGATTTTATCTAGAAGTAATATTTAAAGATGATGAATACGAAACTATATAGAGTGAAACAAATTATACTCTTACTTTCTCAATGAACCCCATCTGTATTTTAGTATATATCATAGATTAGTAGAATGATTGTGTTATTCCAATCGATGAGAACAAGAAATGGAACCATAGTATTCAATGACGTAGGATCACTTCTATTCTATTTCGGAATATGTTTGCTTCATATTAATTTTTAAATAAATTATAAAATAATGTCAATTATTGTCGATTTCAAAAGCAAAGAAGAGTGACTATTTTTTGAATAAATTCTGATGGAAACTAGATAGAGATCTGCAGTTTTCACCATATAAAAGAAGTGGTCAAACTATATTGAATTTTTCCGGTATAGTTTTTCGGGGTCTGCCATCAAGGTTTTTAGTAAATTGGGTTTTTTAACAGATTTAGCAGATGGATGTTTTCTTTCAAAATACATAAAATCCTCGTAAACACGCTATGAGGTAAATTGTTTGACATCGGCCTTACAGAGATTATTGAGCTTTAGTTAAACACAATGAAAGAAAATTCGAATGGCAGTAAAGAATTTATATCATGAATTAAACTTTGAAAATACTTCAGTAAGGTGTGGGTATGATATTGCTTCTTATTTACATCCACATCCCATCCTATTACCATTAATTTGAACCAATCAAAAGTAGCATGTGCTAGTTTAAGATCAAGTCAAGGAGAGAAAAAATAACCATTCGTATTTATTCCCAGTGCAGCTGAGTCATTCCATTGGGTTTTATTCTTTAGTTAAAATATCATTCACATTGTAAACAAATACTGTTCATTAATAGATGTATGGAAATGTTTATATTCAAGTGATTGACTTTCAATCCACTGAGTCTATTGGAATATTCCAAGTTCGCATCGACGTCTATTGCGTTGGAGAAAAAACAACGTAACATAAGTTACTTTCGTGAGCATCATGTTGAAGTATACAAGAACAGCAAAATATCTTTTTACAATCATTCTGCATTGATGAATTTCTTTGCTCGTTCGATTGCAAGCAATGTCATGTGGCTGACGATGGTTTGTTTTTAGTTTTGCCAATGTTGACTAAGATACATCAAAATAAAAACAATGCATTATCAACAAGTATTTTGTTTGATTTTGGCTAACATCGATCAATTATTCAAAGGACTTCACTACTTGAATGTAATCAAAACAGGACCGATGTCTCTCTTTTGATTAAATATTTTTTTCATAAACAATGATCAACCAAAAGGTTCTTCATTTTACTTTCAGAAACGATCATATCATCGACAACTATAAGTCATAGCAGCTTAATATTTTACGATGCTGGTACACGAACTGCAGATAGAGTCATTATAACAATGATCAGTAAACATCTTTCCAATGCATATTAAACAATCAAACGAGGAATTTCTCATCGCAAAGATTTGTCTTTTAAGTCTATTCATTATAACTCATATTTTATTATTCTGGTAGGTAAAAATGGTGAAGAATGCCAACGTATTTACATCACATTTGATCAACCAGAAAGTGTGGGTGTGGGTGTGGGTATTGCATCCAAACTACACCCACACCCTTACTATTTATTTCGATAAGCTTGTCAACTACAGACATCTATTTCATTTAAAGGCTTCATATTCTAACGTATTCTGCTGCTGTTTTCTTCAATTCATTTTAATGAAAAATTCTACGCAATATTTTTTCTTATTGCATACGAAATTATATTTTTTTTATATAATAAAAAATTTCTATTTCATTCAAAAACTATTCAATTCATGAATCTAAGAAATTCAGAAGCAAATCTCCGAATTTTTCTCTCATTAGTTGCCGTTCTTTCCAGCTTCTTGTTTTTATTGACCAACCAGCTGAGAATTTTCTTACATACACTACAGCTAAGACTCTAATCTGACTCGTTTTCTCTTGTGTTCTAGCTTGATTTTTTTCTTGAAATTACTGTCGGATCCTTATAATATACGCGTAGTTTCTTTATGCATCAACATGAGGGTGTGGGTGTGGATGCAAGATGTGTGGGTGTGGGTCAAAGTATTCGATTCAACCACACCCCAAACGACTTTCTGGGGGTAATTCAAGGCGAAGAGTTCAAATCTGAGCTATATATTCGCCCCCAAATTCTATTGGTTGAGCACTAACCAATAGACATCAAGCGTTTATAGAAAAGACTTGCCAGTATAATTTAGATGTCCACACATTCTAGGATGCCTCATCTGTCTAATTCACTTTTTGAATTATGCATAACTCTCGGATTTAAATCCGAGATTTCCGCATTTATTGGCTTCTGAAAACGAGTCAATTGGTACTCTCTAGTAGGTATTTAAATATATCAGGGATGGATGATTTCTCCGAGCTTGTTGCTGGCTTTCGACAAACTCTCTGTATGACAATCCAGAAATAAAATAATACCTTTGAATAGGCTTGTGAAATCTGATACTAAATGCTATTGCTCTTATCAAACCATGATGAAACTCAATAATTCTTCCTCGTTTTTTTTATCTTATCTTTAATTGATTCCTTTGTTTGTTGACCTTTGATTGTTGGAAAAAAATATCTTAGTGCATAGCTTCCGTTTTTTAATCATTTCATACTAAACGTTATTATAAAAACAACGCACTATAAATATACGATTGATCTCTGTTTGGAACAGTAAAGAAAAATGCATTGAAAATTCGCCGGTTTGTCTTGTATTATTTTTGCAATTTCTATCCACGGAATTATGGTTAAACGACAAGCATTTATTAATAAAGATGCTATTCAAATGGCTGGATTAGTTGCGAGATGTTGGTCTTTAAAATCTGATGGACTTTCAAAAAAGGGATCTTTTGCTTATTGTAATGTCATAGAGAAATGTTGTTCAGATGAACATCGTTCACAAGCAATATCACTCTTTGCTTCGGACTTAAAGCTTGGGGATAATAAAGCTGCCTTGTCTGAATTGATTGACACTAAATGCATTAATTCGACCACTTTCGATAACTAAAATCAATGGTGTTCATCGTTCCGCTCATTGGTCAATGAGAGCACTCTCGACGAGCTACCTGTTGAA